GGGACCCGGCTCCGCCAAAGGCAGGGGATTCTCGAGGGTCTAGGGTTTTTAGGGGGTATAGGGTTTAGGGGTTTAGGGTTTAGGGGTTTAGGGGTTTAGGGATTAGGGTTTAGGGGTTTAGGGGTTCCGGGGTTTAGGGGTTTAGGGGTTTAGGGGTTTAGGGGTTTAGGGGTTTAGGGTTTAGGGTTTAGGGGTTTAGGGTTTAGGGTTGGGTTGTGTTTTGGGTGTAAGGCTTCTGATTTCTGTGGTTGGGGTCCGGGGTTTAAGGGCTTTTGCTCTTTGGGGTTTAAAGCTTTAAGGTTTAGGGATTTGCCTTCTGGGTTTAGGGATCAGGGTGTTGCGTCTTGGGTTCAGGGTTCGGGCTATGACCTTCTACGAAACCCTCCATCCCCTACTAACCCCTAAACCCGAAACCCTCACCCCTAAACCCTAAACCCTAAACCCTAAACCCTAGACCCTAAACCCTAAACCCCCAAATCCCCAACCTCGGGACTGCAGCAAAAAAAGCGCGGCGGGCGCGCCAGACTTGGAGCCGTAGTCGGAGAGCTCGTTGGCAAAGTAAACCTTTGAAGCTTCTTTATAAAGTCTAGAGCTCTAATACTAATATAGGGTTTAGGGCTTAGGGGTCTCTAAAGCTCTAAAGCAGTTTATATAGTATATACTTTGGCCTTTGGCGTTTAGCGTTTAGCGTTTAGGGTTTAGGGCTTAGGGCTTAGGGTTTAGAAGGGTCCACGTACTCATATCGTATATACCTTGGCCTTGAAGTAGTCCCTATGTAGGGACATTGGGGGCCAAAAGTATATAATAGTTGGGTACATGGTAAGTGACTATTATAGCAAGGAGCCCGCAAAATACTATAGGTAACTATTTACGCTTCTATATTATAATTCTCTAAAGCAGTTTATGTAGTTTTAGGGTTCTATAAGAGCTTCCGGCTGAGATGTTGGAGGTTTGGGGTTCTGCAAGGGCTTCTATAAGTGAGTTAAGGGTTTAGGGCTTTGGACTTGGAGTTGGGAGGTTCAGGCATGCAGGTTTAAAGGGTGCTGGGGCTTGGAGTGGATGTTCAGGCTTAAGGGTTCAGGGCTTGAAAGTTTAGAGTTTTGGGTTTAAGGGTTCAGGAAAAAGTTTAGGGTTTCGTGAGGGTTTCTTTACTGCCGTGTCGCATCGGTGCTATGAGGGCCTGAACCCTAAAGCCTAAAGCCTAAACCGGGGAGGAACCTGACGGAAGCACTCGGGCTGCTGGCCGCCCATAGCAACTCCAATACACCTTGCTCAAAAGCACCTTAAACCCTAAACCCTAA